GTCATAACTTATGATTCATAACGGTATTAAATACGATATTATTTTTAATAAGTATTTAATTGGTATTTACTTTATCGTGAAAGTATTGCATAACACTCTCAACACTACACGTGCAGTGAATTAATATATTTCCCAAAACTCTGTCGGGAAAAGACATCTGAAAAATACAAGAATTGTACAATTTTTTAACAGTAAATCTTTTTATGGCTATTATTATTGCTATTTATATTATTATTTATTTAAACATTTAATTACCGCAAAACGGGCTATTATGTTGGCGCCGGCGCCCTCGCCCAGAGTCACACAGTATTTGATGCTAAATAGATTAAAATACGTAAAAATATCAATTTAGATTTATTTTAATGTTTAGCCATTTTTAATATTAAAGTATATTATTATTATCTTTTTATATTGTGTAAGATATAAAAAATATAAGACATCGCCCACGATCAATCTATAAATGATCATTCTTCGATTTTTGCTTTGAATTTAGAATTTTAAAATATTTATAATAATTGATATAGATTATATCTATATAATTTTATTGTTAAATATACACTTTTGGATATTTTTAATTCCAATATATTCTTCTAAGAATTTTCTAGCCCATTTATTGAATCTACAATTTGACTTCACAAATCATAACCAGATACCTTAGGCCATTTATATTATATACCGAATATGCTTGGTTATGTGTATGAGCAATTTTACGTCAATGTAGATGTGATTTACATAGAAAATAATGTTAATAGTATATGATATACTGTATATCAGTGGGTTTGTCCAAAAATTTGCATGTGTTTTATGAATCCCATCTCGAGTTATTCGACTACTTGTTAAAGCATTTTGATGGCATAATTTTAGTAATTTTAATGAATTGTTTTAAACAATTTGTTTATATATAATATTAACACTGATTAATAATTTCAAATCAGATTTATAATAGAATGGATACAATTCAATAATTTAAACATTAAAATTTGATTAATTCAAAAAATATTCAAGATAGATTTTAAATTTCATATTCGATTACCCAGCGCTAACTTTTACATAAAATTATTATTGGTATATAAAACATGCATGTACAATTTTTAGACGGACTCGTGTATTCTTTATGGAAAACTTGTGTGTACTTTAACTAAAAATATGACAAACAACCATTCACATTATACATATAGTGTTAATGGCGAATTTGTACCTTGGGTATCTGTTATGATTCTGTGAATTTGGATTTTTGGCTCTATAAATGGGCTAGGAGATTCTTAGACGTATAGAATTAAAATGTTCAAAATTGTATAACAGTTCAGAATACACATTATTATCAACTTTATTATTTAGTCAAAAAGGTAGTGATTATGTATTGTTACTAAATTAATAATTTATACGTCATATTAAATAATGATAAATAATAAAACAAATAAAATATGCCAATTTTTATATTTATAAAACATAGCATGATTAATTAATTTACGGCAAATGTAATGATAATTTTCATACAAAAATAAAATCATTTTTACAAAACAAAAAATCTAAAACTAATTGACAAATAAAAGGGAAACGCGAGGAAAATACTTCATTTAACTACTTTTGATTGAATGAAATGCATATTTAATTGAAAGTAATTGTAATAAATCATGATTAAATCTATCATTTAAAATTACCGACAATTATTGTATGATTATGTCATAGATTTAAGAAACTCCCACATGGTAATATAATATAGTCATAATCATTACATTTTAATGGCATATAAAAGTTTAAAGTGAAATTATATCTATTTTATCCAATTACTGGTCAACAATCAAAAGAGTGATCTCCCAATTAAATCAATTATATCTATATATAACTACAATTATATCAAATCTATGAATAGACTGAAGACAGTGTGTGTGTTTTGTTAAAAAACATAGTCTGGAAATATTGTCCTTCGCATAAAAACGACCAACATTTTTAAAAACACAAAACAAAACAATTTTAAAACTTTTAGCTTAAAAAATTAAATAGTAAGTTATGAAATTATAAATTAAAAAGTTATAAAAGTTACTTGAAATAGTTGAGAACATTGACCAGATTGTCGGCAATACTGTCCATCGATGGGAATGTATAGGACTCGGGCAGGTCTGGGGCGTCAAAGTCCTGTCCGGGCAGTTCCACGTGTATCCATACGGACCGGGCCTTCAGTTTGGCCATACAGGGGTGTTCTACCAGCTT